TGGACTTCCTGGTGGCTCAGACGGTAAAGCATCTGCCTGCAATGCAGGAGACCCGGGTTCAATCCCTGGGTCGGGAAGATCTCCTGGAGAAGGAAATGGCAACCCACTCCAGTATTCTTGCCTGGAAAATCCCATGGACGGAGAAGCCTGGTAGGCCCCAGTCCATGAGGTCGCAAGGAGTCTGACACGACTGAGCGACTTCACTTTCACTTTTCACTTTAATTCCTATGGAGAATGTCACCATGTTTTTAGCAAGGCCTTAAACCTTAATTCAGGTTGCAAGTCCCAAAGAGCCTTCTGTGGGTCTTCGTTGCGGTGTCAGTTCAGTGTTCAAAACCCTTGAAGCACTATTTGGATCTGGCCCATGTGAGGATGTGCTATGTGGTATCAGGGGTGATTCAGAAATTCATCTGAAGGGGCTCCTTTCCCCAGGACCTCTCTCTCTACCATCTCCCTGGAATTTTCCAGCCTTGCCCTTTCAGTCCTCTGGCTGGAAAGCTCATGCCCCGCAGTTTATTCTGGGGCTACACTCACTTCCCAGACCAAATGGGTGGACAGACTGAGAGAGAAAGCAGAAGGGATTTCCCCACCCTCTCTGGACGGAAGCTCCTCCAGTTCAGGCGGGCGGCTTCCTTCCCAGGAATTTAGGTGCCTTCTGGTTCCTGTTGCCCCTGTCGCTCCTTTTGTCACAGGGTTGCTTGGCTTTGAGGCAGGCATGAAAAAAACAGCAAAAAGAAAAAAGAATAGGGAATTTTCCCCACTCTCCTGAGCATCCACTGTTTTCTTCCTGGCTCCTTGGCCTGAGGGTTTCTCTTGGAGAGTTCTCCGTCCAGCCCTGAGGAGTACTCATGGGTTTCAGGTTTCCGGGAGTTCAGGCCTGGGCACAGAGAGGGGAAATGGCAAAGTCAGGCTATTTCAGCAGTACTGCGAATCTTGGTCATCTTCCTCAGTGTTTCTGCTACTATTTGCTTTGCAGAGTCCTCAAACAGCTGATGCCTGCATTCTCTGCAGGTGTGACAGACTCCACCTTACGGCTGGCTATGACCTTGGCATTTAACAAAGGGCTCCATCCGTTCACCTTTCATCCCCATTTGTGGTACCCATTTATTCTGTGGATGCACCTTGATCACCTACTACGTATCGCAAACTATAAAGGCTAGAGAAACTGCCCATCTTTAAAGTGTTGAGGACACAGTTCCCTGCTAGACACAACTTCCTGGATTTCACCCTGGCTTTCTTCCCTGCTTTCTGCTTCCATTCACAGTAGATCTGTGAAGTGAGTGTTTGTTGCTTCCTTGAACAGGCATGTCTGTATATGAGCCTGAAACCATTCTCACATGTGTGCTCTGTGGGTGCGGCTGAGGGCTTTGGAAAGAGACAAATTTTCAAACACACAGGTTTGTGGTTTTTGAAAGAACAGAAAGCATAAAGCATAACATCTTGCAGGATTACTTTCTGCTGAAGACCAATTGATGTGACATCTGAAAATAATCAAATAAGTGTCTTGTTTTCAGTCTGCAAATGACTTTGTGAAAGTTGGGAAGGAAATTCTCCACTTAAGAAAAAAATAAAAAATGGAAATTGAGATCATGGAGAAGAACAAAGATGGGGAATTATGAGAGTGCTTTGAATTGTTAATAGCACTTACATTTGTAAAAATGGATCTCTCTAAAAACCTGGAAGTGGCCTAATAACTTTAAATCACCTCACATAGTATATGCCCCAAACCCTGATAACATCCAAATTCAATTGCTCATAACCACGTTTTTGTTTTTTATTTTCTGGAGCATTCCAAAAACTTGAAGTTGCTGCACAATGCACAGAGCTTGGGATTTAAAATTATTGAAACCTTTGATTATTTTTTTTTCATGTAAGCTCTGACATTTGGAAAGAAGTTAAGGTACAGTGAAATCCCAGAGGATCAGAATTTATTGAACTGATTTTTGTTGTTGTTGTTGTTGTTTTTAATGGTTTTGGCTAAGAAAACAGAAATTGAGCTGAACGTTATAATGAAGAAAATAAAGACAGGAAGAGAAAAGGCTGAAGGTGGTACATACAAAATTCTCGAAGTCCAAGGAGAGGCTGGACCTGAAGGTGAACAAGTCTGCTGACCAAGGTAAGACAAACAAAGACACACTGGCGAGAAAAATTGGAGGCAAATGACATTAAACATCATCAAAACCCCAGACTAAGGTAAGGAGAGACTGGAGCAAAGAGAAACTTGTCTTTAGCTTCAGGGATTAAGGGGTGACTTCATGTTCCTACAGCATTTCATTCTATCTAAGTCAAGTGTTGCTAATATCCAGTGTGGATGACAAGCAGTTGGACTTTATGAATTTCTGGTTTCTAATGATGCATTTGAGTTTTATTTTTTACAGCTGTCCTTGTCTTAATCCTTTCCATTTTGTTTCTCCCTGGGGTTCAATGGTTTCTAGTTACCTATCAGCATTTTACACAGCCTGTCAGCTGCCAGGCAGCACATGGCTTCTGATGGTTGTGGTGTGTGGGTCACCAGTAGTTCTCTGGGAGGACAAGAGCCTGCCTGAACCACACAGCAAACTCCCTTGTGTGAATGGCGTACACTGAGCAGGTTCTGGGCGCATGCTAGAAATTGAACCAAATACCTTTTGCAAACAGCAGCTCAATGAGGTTTCCTGCCATGAGGCAAAATGCTTGGAAAGTTACTCTGTGCTGGCATCACTGGGTTTGGGGTCAGCGTGCTGAAACCGGGACTCATTATGTTCCTACCATGCCAACTTGGTGCAATTAGCCTAACACGATAATTTCCCGAAGCCATATGTTGATCTTTAGGGGAGTGAAGGCTGCATCTGCCTGATGGCTCTGAGCTCTGACTGGTGTATCCCAGCTTCCAGCACATTTCTGTAAATCAAGAGAACACAAACAGCAATCAGAGACGAGGCGGGACTGCCAGCCTGGAGAGGAGCAGGCAACCTGGAGCAGGGTTGCGGACTTGTTGACTGTTGTAAGTGGGTCAGTTTTCTGTTTTCTTCAAAGAAGTTTTCAGAGAAAGGTCAAGGGAGCACCACTGTGTGCAAGGTTGTCTCTCCCTCCATCCTCCCCTCCCCACTAAGCAAAATCAATGGAAGGACCTAGAACAGAGTAAGTTATGTTCCAAGGCTGCATGGTCTGTATTCCCACTGGAGACCTATCAATGTGAACTAGCACTGTTGGGAGCTCTCTTCAGCTGCCCCTGTTAATCAATACCTCTGTTCATTATATGTCTCTGATGAATACGGGTAATGATTGGGTGCCGGAGAGTCAGGTGACTAAAAATAACTGCGCCATACAGAGAATCAATAGATTCCCAGCCCCACTGCCACCCCCGCCCAGTATTACTTGAGGCAATTCGATATTCTCTGCCGCCCTTCTTGAGCCCCCACCCATGCTATCCTCTCTGGTCTTCATTGATAGATCGCCTCCGTCCTCAGAGCAGCTTTATTAAATTAGTAGCACTTAATCTGCTGTCCTACTGTCAACGACACGGGGCAGACTAGCAGATGGCAAGTATTCCAGTGGCTCAGAAGAGCAAAGGGCTGTGGCCCAGGCAGTGCTGATTAGCCTTGTGCTGAGAGCTGAATTCATGGGTGCCTCTTCACTAAACAGGAGGATTTCCACCATTTAACAACTTAAGAATATATTTTTTTAAGAAAGAGCTGTTTGAGGGAGGATTCTTGCCAATTACAGATGTGTTATGACAGATGAAAAGATCATAATTATGCTTGGATTCCCTGTAGGGGTGCGTTAACATATCCATGACATTTAATAACCACATGCCTGAACCAAGGTTGACTTCCCCCAATTGTTTTATCTTTCATTTCTTTGCTCTTACCCCCAAAGTCTGTGGGTGCTCAGAGGAAATCGGGATGTGGGGAGGCGCGTCAAGGCTTGGTGGCTGGCACCTTTGCTACCTTGGGAGGGACCCTCAGTCAGTGGTACCTGAAGCTGGCTGGACAGTTCTCTACTGTGGGTCTAATGACAGCCAGCAGATACAAGCAGCCTGTTTAGCTCCTTGCTGGCCAGAGACCTGGGGCCAAGGGGGTTGCTAGATTGAGTCTGGGTAGCTGCTGGTTTCTCTGGGCCAGAGGAAATGGGAGAAGGGGGTGCCACAAGATGGGAGACTTGGATACATGTGGCTCCCGGGATGGAGAACAGGAAATACTAAATGGAAAGGGAGACTCTAGGAAAAGTTACAGTCTGGGTTAGCCTAATGTTAAGCTAGAATTGGTTTAAGAGGTGGGGGTAATATTAAACAATCGCAGAGTCAGAGCAGCCTATATGCTTCTTCCCATTGGCCTCAAGTAGTCTGACAAGAGATGTGGCCAATGATGACCTCTCTCCATCTGCTAGTTTTATTTCTAGATGATAAAAGCCCAATCTGCAGAAAACCATTGTCAAGAGAATATAAACTGAAACACAAACATCTAGTTTGAAAAACTATATATATATATATATGTGTGTGTGTGTGTGTGTGTGTGTGTGTGTGTGTGTATAGTTATCATCCTGTTAGCTACTGTCCACAAATTTCCCAGGGTCAGGGTGAAAGCTATTTACAGAAGGCCAAGGTGCAAAGATACTTAAGGTCTTCCTTTCCTTAAAAGAACTTAAGGTCTTCCTTTCCTTAAAACATCTTGGGCCAAGGCTTCTGAGAAAGGAAATTCTGGAGACACTGGAAAAACATCCCCAAAGGGACAGCTTTAGTGAGGAAAGAGACAATGTTTTCTGGGCTCCATTGGGACTGACTGGCTAGGATCTCTGGGGCTCTGACTTAGCTTGGCTATCTGAGCATGAGATGAGTTTGATCTTCCTAAGAAGTGTGTTCAATAATAGCATGATCCAGTCTAAAAAGGAGACCAAGTTATCCAACATGGGAGCTTAAATAAGGGTGAATCACAGTGTAAGCTAAAGTGTTTCTTGGTGTATTTCATAGTGGTCTCCTGGAGTTGGTTGAGGTTTCTTCAAATCAAGGAGGTAAGAAGAGATCAGTGACTGATAAATCTTTAATATAAAAATTGTACAAGAATTTTGATACAAATTACAAGAGGTATTTGGACAAAATATGAATAAAATTCCATTTACATCCCCAAACCCTTATGCATTTTATGCAAAAAGACATACTGTAGACAGTTATAGTACAGAAAATACAACAAAGGAAACAGCAAATAAAAACTTTTAATTCCCTTAAACTACTAAGAAAAACAAACCAAAAACAAAACAAAAACAAAACCCTTGTTCAAGGTACATACAGTATTTATGAAGCTACCGACGTCACAATGATCAGATCAGGGTGATGTAAGCTGTGCCCGTCCCTGGGTGCTGACCCCTTTCATAGTGCAGACTTTGGTTCTGTGACAGGCTGGGCAGAAGAGGCTGGTTTGATGCGGAGGAGGACAGAAACGAAAAAAAGCACAGCCCCCCGCCCCCCACCCCCGCCCCAAACTCTGGGGTTGGGGAGTGGGGAGAGAGGACATATCTTGGGGAAAATTGCTTTTCCTTAAGATATTTCAGTTCCCTTTGGCCAACTTTGCTGTCAAATAGGCTTGTGTCCAGTGTTTTTGTTAGCAAGACACACCAGTGGGTTTGGGGTGAGTAAGAAAGTTATGTGTTCTCTCATCCAGGTGAGGGATCTTGCTAGTTCTAAAAGGCTTAGTCGATGAGGAGCAGTTGAGATCTGAGAGCTTGCTTTCCTGAAGGATCGACTCACGTCCACCTTTGAGGAAAGGCCCAGGGAGGCCTCAAACCCACATCTTCTCCTGGTTTCTCCGCCTCCCTCACCCCTCTGACCTCCAGGTACCCACGTTTAGCTCTCCTGCCCTGTTCATACTGGCATTGGTAGGAAAATGGTTGAGACTTTTCTGCAGGGCAGCAGAACCAAAGTTTGCACAGGAAAGTGACAGCACCATATATTATAAATCTTAGTCATATCAGGTTAATATATAATACTAGAACATCTCATTCACTTAATTCACGTTATGTAAACCCCAGACAGGGTGGAACACACAAATGTTTCCAGAGTGATCAAAATCCAGATGAAGGAGGGAGTGTTCTACCTTCTTGCTTCAGAAAAGATTTTCTTTGAAGAGGGTGGGTGAGATCAGAAGAAAGGGCAGGAGTGGAAAGATAATGAAGTCAGGGGAGATTAAGATGGGTATTGAAAGGAGTAGATATGTACAAAGACATGCAAAAACACTCCAAATTGAGTACTAGATGAAAACAGTCATCTTGGTTTATACATCTCAAGTGAGCCTGTTAACTGAGCACACTGTCTGGGAATCAAGAGCATCATGCCTCATGAATCACTGCTTTTCTTGGCCACGGCACTGATTCACAGGCAGGTCAGGGGTGCTCTCCTAGTGTGGGAAGGGCGGGTCACGCGGCTCCTGTGGAAACAGTGCCAGGTCAGCTCAGCTCATCTTGGGGTAGGACTACCAAGAGGGTTGGTCTTTTCTCCCCTCTTGTGGAAAACGTTTCCAGGGCCAGAGGAGTGGAGCTCTCTGACACACATAGGCCCCTTCACCCCGGGGCCACCTCTCAATCCTTGCATTTTGTAACAGCAGTGGGCAGAGCCGGTTGGTAATGGACTGATGTGCCATCTTGTGCATTATTTCAGCATCGTGTTTGGCAACAGGAAGCCTTATAAAGTCTTGGTATAGCGCTTGCATACTTTAAGAAATATAGTTTTATACTATCTATTTCTTTCCATTTTTGTTAAAATACCTTTTTCCACTCTTCCTTCCCTTCAAAGAATCTTAGAAAAAGGAAGCTAAAAATATGCCAAAACAATTAGAACTGTCCTTAAGCATCCCTGTTATTTAAGGGGCGGGTAGAGCTAATATTGAATAATCTGTGCAATTTTGGCAACTGAATTTTTAATTAAGAGTCTCTTAAGATGTTTGCTAAATGATTGTAATATATACATACTGGCAGAACTTAAAAAACATCAACTGCTTTTTCCCTGACCCCAACAATCATTACTCAAAGTGCTTTTCTGCCCAGTCCACACACTGCTTAATACCATTATTTTAGCACGGGTTTGTCTACATAGACCTTTTGTCTCTCTCTCAATCTGCCACTTCTCGTCTTTCCAAAAGTTTGCATCAAAGATGACACCTGCGTGTGTCTTATTTTTTGACATAGATTTGAAATGTGACTGTTCAAAGTCGGTGGAGGGGAGCGGGGTGGGATCAACAGCATCTATCAGACCCAATGCAGGAGGGTTTAGAAAGAAGCAGGGTGTCTCTGAATTCCCCAAGGAAGATGCACAGAGAACTTATACTTCATTTAGCCACTAACTAGCTATCTTTATGATCCTTTAAGTAGTTCAGTATACAAAAATAGCAGCCAATACTTATATATGTTATTTGGGCTCAAGATGTTTGGGAAGATCACATTTCACATGATTTTTCTTTGTACCTTTTGTCCCCTCGTACTTGATTTTCTAAAGCTCATGTGCTTATACTTACCAAAATTCTCCCAAAGTAGAAAGAATTTACTTTCTACATATAGGATAGTCCCTGTTTTAGTGATTAAACTCAAAGTCCCTGTGCCTTATTATTTTTTTCAGATTGTCAGTCCAATTAAAGGTGAACCTGTCTTGTTACAGTATGGATTTGGAAGTTGTCACGGCAAGATACCTGTGTACATCTAGACTACTGGTTGGAGGCCAAAGCTAAAAAAATTTTTTTTCAAACCACCACACACAACCAGTTTGTTTACGGCACGTGCACTTTTTGAAGGAGAGGAAAAACGTCTTAGTTCTTTACTTACAGAACATAGGGCAATCTAATCCCACTTTTGCCACTGACTTGTAGAAACTTTGCTCTAATTATAGCACCATACCCAGTACTCCCAAAATACATGAGCTTGGAATTGCAATACTTAAGTTTCCAAAGACCCAGAGGGTGCTGTCAAAGCCAGAATCTCTCTACTGACCCTTTATTTAAGACGTTGTCTTGTTACTGTGCACTTAATAGCTGGAGAGGGCACCTCGAGGCAGCCTTGGGCCTACCAGAGATACAGTTTAGTGGGTGTGTGTGCGTGCTCGTGTGCTGGGAGGAGGTGGAGGGAGGGAGGGAGAGGCTGACTGTGGATGTGTGTGCATCGGGGAACTCAGTGGGAAAGCCTAGCCCTTGTACTCAATTTCCCCTTCACAAGGGATAAACAGGCAATTACGCATCCTTTTATATTTGATGGCCAAGTGCTGAACTGGAAAGCACACTATTAGTTTGTGTCCCTTTAGGGCCAGGGCAATAAGTAGCCAGGAGAGCTGGGGCTGAAGCGGGCAGGGTGTTGTCTGCTGTTAGTGTGACAGTCTTGTCAGCAGCGTTCACATTACTGGAAGGTAATAAAGTGACAAGTAAGTTATTAGAAAGATATGAGGTGAAATTGAACTGAAGCTTCTTGCTGCTCAGCCTGGCTTTTTCCGTTTCCTCTTTTGTAATAGTCCACTATTTGTTACAAACTGAGCCTTGTCTTGATACTCTATATAGAAAAGGTTTTTTTTTTTTTGCTTGCAGTAAAGGTCAAATGAATTTACAACAACACTTCAGAGGAGAAGAATAAAGATAGTTTTATGACAACTATAGTATGTTACTTCAAAAAAATATATAGCATTATAATGAACGATAATGCTGATCCAATTCAGTGTACTTGTAAAAATGCTTAGTTTTTTTTCTTTAAACCCCCTGTGATCGGGCATTTGGATTTTTTGACAAATGCCAAAAAGATAGTATTTGATGTCCAGTTATTGCCGAATGACCATAAACATCATCTTGTGCAAGATGTGGGATGAATAAGGATGATGGGAGGATACAGGAGAGGATGGGTGTCCGGGCAACAGTGATGTTACATTAACCCACCAGTTAGTTGTACAGCTGGATTTACATAATACTAATGGAAATTACCGTGTACAGTGAGCAAGTCCTGACTATAGGAAAGGGAAATGCCTTTGGGACAGAGCAGATGTGGCCTGATGCTAACATGAGGAAAGCTACCTACCACACATGGTTTGGCCTGAAGGGAAAATGTGAAAGCAGCAAAGTTGCTTTTATGCTCTGTAGGAAGGTGAATGAGCTCACATTTTGATCAAAAGGTCTTTGCAGCCAAAGAGCAGTACAACCATGGCTATGGGGGCAAGCCACAGTCACGACGGAGAAAGAACAGACCTGCGCTGGCAATCATGCCTTTCCACTCAGCACAACTAGGGCTTGGTCTGACCACCAGCCTTTTCTAGGATCTGGTAGACCCAATGGATCCTTAGTTTCCTAAGGGACTTCAGCATCATTTCCACTCCAAAAGTAAGAAAAAAAGACCACCACACCCCCACCCAGCCACTGACTGCCATAGTTGATTCTCCTGACCTGGCTGGGACTTGAGCTATTCCAGGCATCACTCTTGCTTTCCTCCTCCCTTCTCAGACTAGGATTCAGTGAGGCACCTGGTCATGGGGTGCTCTGGGAGGCACTGCATGGCTCTGCTCCCACCCACTGCTAGGCAGAGTTGCACTGGACGTTTCTTTTGACTGCCTCCTTTCCTTGAGTTCACTATTTTCCTTTCTAGTTATGTTCAAACCAGGACAGGTATGAGTCCTCTACTTAACACCCCTCACTTCACTATAAAAAACTGTGATTCCCTCCAGTCTCTGCAGCACCTGTCTCTGAATGCCCTCCATACTTATGTAAACCCCTTCCATTAGAAACACAGAGAATGAGAAGGAGAAGCAAACTCCTCTAAATATTCCAAGTCTGGGTGAAATGTAAGTGATTTTTTTAAACCCCAAAATTTGTCATAATTTTTGCAAAGCTCTAGAGAAGGAGTGTGTCCATAAGATCAAAGAAAGTATCTTCTGGCTGATTTGTTTCATATGACAGTAGATGTAGCGTGTCTTATGACAATTGACATTTATTTACTTAGTCAATCTAGCCCAACACAAAACACCAAGTGCAAGTTAGGACTGCTCAGGTCAACGGCTGGCAGTTAGCAGCATGTCCATCTCAATCTGGTTACTGGCTTCTTTCTGTTTTAATTCCCAAGGGCCTCTGTTCTCATTTGCTTGGCACACATGAGGGGTGTGTACAGAGGAAAAGGAACAAAAGGTCACTTTTTATTTGGTGGGAACCTAGTGCATGGTTTCCCCTGAGTAAAATGAGGAGAATGCCTCTGCAACAGCCCCTTCTTGAAAGCTTGCCTTTTAAAAAAATAGCTATATATATATATAATATATATTATATATATTATATATATACACACACACTAACAGGCTATTAACCAGTTATGCGCCTTGCTCCTCATACTGGAAGGGCCTGGGAATTCATTACCAAAGAAATTACACTATAAGGACAGAGGTGCCATTGTGCTAAAAACAATTTCAAAAGAGATGTTTGCCAGCTTTAAAAGGCATCAGCCTGGACTAAGATCTGAAATGCACTGACTTATTTCTATACAATTAATAGCAGAACGAAGAATGTCATGCTCTTTATCACATTTTAAACACCAAATTATTTATTATCTCTCGTTATTCTTGCTCCGGGTCATCCCCCTCCACAACACACAGACAATCCTTAAAGGAGACTAAGCCTTTCTGATCCTTACAAACACATAGCTTAAAATGATCAAAACAGAACATTTCAATACCACCTAGCAAACATGCATGTTAATAATACTGCTGTTTTGTACCTGTGACAGAATGCTGGTTAAAATGAATCAAGTGGGGGAAAAAGGTTGCTTGGATGAAATGCTGCATCCTATTCCTTTTTCAGCCGCCCTAGCATGGATGAAGCTGGACAGAGCCTGTGTCACAACAGAAAACTCCTATGAAAAAAGAAATGAGTATGAATGGACAAAGAGGGAAGGGCTCAATGGTTAAAATGGTGATCACATCATCCTTCCCATTTGCAAATAAGCCTTGGGATCACCATCTTAACTAGATTTAGAGTTAAGTCAAAACATTGCACTCAGGCACACACCCCAGAACAAGCAACACTATGGGACTAGATGAAATGTACGTTTTCATGATTCTACATCTTATGGACCACTTCTGTCCACTCCCCCTGTCCCTTTTAAGCAATTAGGCTTTAAACTGGAAAATATTATACACCCACTTAAAAGGCCACCATAACATGTGGGCACTTGAGGCACAAAACTAGTAGGAAAGAGGGGAGAGACTTAAAAAGGGCAGGCTGTCCAGGACTCACTGTCATTTCTCCAACAAAAGGCAGGTGAACACATTCATGCTTCTGAGCAATGGAAATTCTGCTTGAGAATCTTGTTACTTCTGGGCTTATTCTAACTGGCTATCCACATCAGCCTGGTTTGTGGTGAGTACCAAACACTTGTTCTAAGCCTGGTGCCTTTGTTGTGACCTGCTGACAGCTATGTAATTCACTCATTAGGGCTTTTAGATCTTTTAGTTGACATTAAACAGACTAAGCACTGATTTTGTACAAGCTGAGTTCTAATTATCTCAACCCAGAGTGTAATTGTTAAAAATTTCTGAAAATGTGTTATTTCATAAAAGTGTCACTTGGTCTATGTATACTCGCAAAGCTAGTGTTTCCATAACCTTTTGATGGGATACCAACAAAATATTTTTTCCTCCCTTCTGGAATCAAATCATTTGGTTAATGGAGCAATAGCGCAACACAGAAGGCTAAGAGGACCAAAATGTTTGCAAACAAATTTTCATTATTCTAGTTCCATCTTCCACAAACATACTGTACAGAGTCTTATGTGGTATAAAACGAAGGAAAACATCTCTGTCTATTCAGTTTAACAACACTGAAATAAAGCAATTAAGACTTTGGGGAATTCAAAGGTACAAGAAAAACAAAAAGCGGTTAGCACTAATTCCTCAGCTTTTTTACCGTAAACATTTGTCATTAAAACATAGTGTTTGCTATAGTTTCTTTTGTAACTGCAAATACTTTTGGTCTCTCCTCACTGTAGAACAAATGAAGAATTAAATGAACCCCACAGCATCCTCTGAAGGAGATGAAAACATAAAGCTGCTAGACACATCTAGCTTATCTTAAGATTCTATTGTTTCTGAAATTTTCACACAAAAAATACTGAAGCCTCAACTTAATAATGCTTATTTTTGGAAAGAATAAATACTGAGGTACAATAAATCCTACAGGACTAACAACAAGAGAAACATATTAACAGTTTCCTTTGGCAAATTTAACGGAAGTGAATGCTGATGTGAACCTAGAAAAAAATAATTACAAAACATATGAAAAATGGAAATGCCATTAAAAAGTTAAGACAAAGGGAGTAATTCTAACTTTTAGACTGATGAAAGAAATGTTTGAGGCCCTTAAATGCAGAAAAGAAATACATTCTCTTTAAATTATTGTGTCCTGTTTGACAAAATATGCCTTGTTTATCTTTTTCCCTCTCCACTTAAAAAAAAAAAAAGACAACAAAACAGTCTGCAATGCACATCCTAATGGTTTTGGCTGCAGACTGAATTTGAGTAAATATCATCATTTAGTCAGTATGTTGTGGTAGCTGAGGCTGCCGATGTGGTTAACCAGCTCAGGCAACATGTGTAAACATCGGAAACAAAACAAAACAAAACAAAAAAGGTTTGGAGAATCCTCTCCCTACTCTTTCTCACTCTCGATTGCCTGGTTTCAGGCTTGCTTTCATTTCTCTCTGACAAATCGCGTGGGGAAACGCAAAACACTAAACAGTGAGAGATCCTATTTTAAACCCCCTTCTTCTGGCTTCTCAGAAAGGAGTATTGCTTAGTTCAAGTTGAGCACATGTTTGCAAAGCTTCCAAGTACTGCCGCCTCTGCCATTAAATGTCTTTTGATTTTGTCTAGCAAACCAGCCTGAATCTTAGTACTACTTCATAACTTGCGACAAATTACACAGCCACATAACAGACCAACTCAGTTCAGACTTTCTCCCTCTCTTTAATGGAGAAGGGTCAGGTCCTTGCGCATGAGTGTTCAGCTCTTTCACTGTATTCAGCTTTGCTCCGCAGTGAGTAATTTGGGCTTTTGTATCCTGAAATATTATCCTGCCTCTAAAGAATAAATGCCTTGGCTGTTTCACATGCATCACTTTGTTTTCCTTTTATGTAACTTAACATATAAGCAAGAAGGATACAATGTTGATTGTAATAACATTCGGCACTTGAAAGCATCACCAAGTGTTTTTTTTAAAAGCGGTTTTCTGGTGGCCGGACAAATTGGCCTGTGGTTATGTTGAGTGACTAATTGTATTTTCTTTTCTGGAAACTTGTGCAAAGTTGGCAGTTTTGTGTTAACACTAATACTTTTGTTTGGCATTTGTGCCCTATACTGACCAGACCATTTTTATACAAGTGAATTTTTTAAAAAAGACACTTACTTGAAGTATGGCAATAGTTTAAGGATAAAAAAGAAGCATGGATATTACACATCCCCTTGTAGTGTATGAAAAAAAGTGCATGACTGGATTTATGTACTAGTACAGGACATTTTAAAAAATCAGATCTGTGCTGTAAGGCATGCCAGCACCTCTTTATCACTATATCTAGCAGGTAGTAAAAACAAGACCATGTTTTTTTTTTCCTTAAAAAATGTGCATTAATGCTAACATAAATGAATAGAGCTAGCCAGCAAACTATTTTTTTCCTGTATATCTAACAGCTGGATGTAACTGTAAAAATTAAACAAAAGAGTTAAACAACCATCAATACAATTGTTTTACATCATTGGCCTCTCAAGGCTAAATATTTACAGGTGAATCTGCCATGCTTTAATTGAAGATTCTCTCAAAACCTTAAAGTTCACAAAAGACAACTATAAGAAGTTCCTTGGTTTTTTTTTTTTCCCCCTTTATCTCTTTGCAGGCAACAGTCATAGGTACAACAAATTGTCTCTTTGGAGAGGACCAAAAATTGTTACTCTGTCAGAGGTTGGGCTAGTTGCACGCTTTTATGTGTGTGCGCATGTGTATTTAAAGGGTATTTTGTTTCATCTCCAAATTAAAAGATCTGACTTCTTTCTCAAAACTATAAAGGAAAAAGACAAAAAATTTCAAAAGCACCTAGTGTTTATCTTCTTATATCCAAAGAAAAGAAAATGTGTGTGTGTGTGTGTGTGTACACAGGTATACATGTGTGTACACACACACGTGCACACACGCCCTCCCCCAAGTACACAAGCGCACACTATGGCAGTTCAGATACATAGGCCATCTGGTGAGAGCTGGCATTTGCAGTGTCCGTTCTGAGACTAATCTACTGCAGTGAAGGGAATGTTTTTGTGGAGATTGGGGTTCTGACTGTGCCGATTCCGGCTTCGCACAGAGGAAAACATCATATTGCAACCGGGGACTTTGCACTTGTGCATCTCTCGCAAGTGCACGGTTTTGTAGTGCACCCGCAGCGTCCCCTTGTTGCTGTACGTCTTGTGGCAAATGTTACACATGATCCCACCGGTGCTCCCGGACAAGCTGCTGAACATCAGAGACCCTGAAACGTCAGCCCCGAGCCCGCCAGGGAGGGTGGGGGCCTCGGCCTTGTGCGCCGACTCCCCGCTGTCACTCGCCCCGTCAAGGTCGTCCAGGAGAATCCCCTCATCGCTGCCGGCGTCGGATTCTCGGGAGGAATGGATGCTGCTGCTGGACTGCAGGCTGGAGGTGGTGCTCAGGTCCAGGACCATGTAGTCCTCCGCCATGCCCCTCCCATAGCCGTTCAGGTGGGAGTCTTCCGTCCCCGCGGGAGAGGAGGCGTCTTCCCTGAGGTCGAGCCCCAGGGGGTGCTGGGCCCCATAGATCTTCATCAAAAATTCATCCCGGAGGTCCTTGCTAAGGGAGGGCTGTGATGAGTCCAGGCCCATGTCATCGAGTTCTTTGGTCAACAGTTTACGATGCAGATTTATGTTGGCACTGTGTCTAGGAAAACAAGAGGGAAGGGGGGGCGGGTGGGTGTACAGGGAGCGGGGAGGGCGAGAAAAAAGAGAGCATTTTAAAATTGATTCAGTTTCCGCCAGGCATCACCTAAGCGCATTCATTGCTAATGACGCTATTGTAAAAAGCAAGCCTTTTCCTACATCCTCAGGACTGGGGAGTAAGTGGTAGTGGGGAGTGCAATAAGGGGAGCTCTTCATTAACATAATTTTTTATAAGAGAGTAAAAGTCCTCAACGGAAGGATGAAGGCAAACCCATGCACCATTTTCTGAATGATTGTTCTGTTCCTTTCACTCTGTAGCAGCATCAGCTGCAGAGAATCTCACAGCAGAGATTTGAAAAAATATACTGAATATGATAAACGAATGGAAACTTTCTGCTTGTCCAAACCAAATAATAATTTGAATTTACCTAAAAACAGAAGGAAACCCCCTTTTTTCTACAGCGAACACTTTAGAGGTATGAAAAGGATTCCTATTTTTAAAAAAGAGTAAATGGTTTAGATAATTTAGAATTCACTTGACAAAATAATTTGTTCCCTCTCATCTTCCTCATCTTATTTCAGAAAATAATTTAGCTTAAAAGGTCAGCAATTTATTTAATAAAAATAGTTACATACTATCTTTAATATAAATCCCCTTTTTAAGAATGATTTGGGATCTCAGCTAAATCTAATAGTAAAATACATTTATCTTCAGAAGCTGCTATATTTCAGAGTTAAAAATAGTATTTCAAGTAATTCCAAGTTGTAAACTTTAATCTTAAAAAAAAAAAGGTGAAAAACAGAAGTTGGCTTAGTACATGAAACCCACCCCCCATTTAAAAAAAAAATCACACTCAACAGAAGGAAAAAAAAAACAAAGGGACCAAAAAAGAAAAAAAACCCACACACAATAAATACCAAAAAAAAACCCCAAAAAAATTCAAGCACAATAATAACACATGGTCCCTCCATTTTAATAACTGGAATCCGTACTTCTTAGGCAAGCAAAACTTATACTATACTCACTGAGTGCTTTGCTTGTGTGTATATACATATATATATAAAGAAAAAAAAAGATTTGTCCCAGAGCATCCATAGGGATGTCATGATTTACAAAGCCTGATAGGTTATTATCTATCTGAAAACATTGCCTTAGTATTTACATCCCCCATTTATTTTTAAAGTGCCCTTGGGCATATACCTCTCTCCACCTGCAAAGGCGTATGTTTGACAAGTGTCTAAATTGAAGGCTACCCTTCCAAAAAGCAAACCAATAAATAAATACAGATGCATAAAAGCTTCTCAATAATGGTGGAAGCTCTACATCTTGGAGAAGTTAATTGTGATAATAGAAATGACCTAGAATGGCCAGGATCAAGTTCGACATACCTGCTGATTATAATTAAAAAGTATGGAAAATCCAAAATGAGTCACACCGTTTGGTGACGAGCATGGCTAATATTTCTTAGAGATGGTTGAGAGGTATGTGCCTCAGAGACAAGAAAGGTGGGAAACACGTTCCACCTTTCCACACAAGACAATATATAGCACTCTGGGTTTGAAGGGGCAGAGGGGCGGCGGCCCCCTCTGCACAGCACTTAGAACGGCTGAGCTTACCTTGTGATAATAAGATCAGCTTTCTAATCTTTTGCTAAATCGATCACAAAAGAAAGCAAGAATGAGAGACAGAGAAAAAGAGAGAGAAGGAGAGAGAGAGAAAACAAATTCACATTCTAGACATCTGGTTTGGAAAAAAAAACTTAAACAATAACATAGGGATTTAAAATGTTCTGATCAAAAAATCATTTTCTGTCATAAGCGATCATCTCATATGCTGTCTTGATGATTTTCAGATCAGCCGCATCATCCAAAAATCATAAATCAAATTAAGATAAACCAAATTCACAGCATCATCGTCATCCATAAATGAGTTCTATACAGATGCATGCAGTGTTGCAGATATGCGAATGATAAACAGAAGTGGTCCCCAGGGTCCCTGCTCTGACAGTCGCGCCCCGTCTCCTTGGTGTCAGATGGCAGATGATTCCAAATGCAGGTTGTTAAGCAGAGTGCAGGAAATGCCTACTGAGAAATCTTTCCCCCTGACATGTGGGTATGACACCACCAGAGTTATTACAAGAATGTGGAAATAGAGTTGCAGTACGTACTATTGCTCCATTGATAAAACAACCTGCCAAGCATAAGCAGCGTGCAGAATCCTACCCCTCTGTGTATTATTTTTAACACCCTCCCCTCCCTTTCTTAATTTCACAGACACACATGTTGCGATGACCCTAATCTAGAACTCTGCTGCTTCTCACACATCTGCAGCGACCGCTTCCTAGATTCACTGCTGAGAAAGCAGCAGCCAGACACACAGCAGTCACATCGAGATACACTGAATAAGGAAGAATAAATTAACATTGACAAAAGGACACACTGGTCCCCAGATGGACACATCTTCCCTGAGATGACTTGTGAAATTACACATCTCCACTGTTGTGTTACCAGGAAGAGATGTTTCTCTTCATGTCTCACTTACAGCAATAGAAATTTGTAATCTAATTAGATGAGGTACCAGCCCTCAATATCTGTCAACCAAATGATGTGCAGAAATGTGTAGACCAGCTCTGGCACTCGGTTCAACAGTGTCCCTTTTCCGCTGTCAGCAGTACTGTTGGCCTCTGCTAATATAATTACATTGACTTTTATTCAATTAAGTGCCATCCTTGCCTTTAAAAAAAAAAAAGCTACTTTATCAATTGATTCAGGTATAATGCAATAATAAAGATGAACTCATGGCAGTGCATTAGCTCTGCTGTTCATAACTTCAGTACACGGGTTCATTCGTGGTAGTCGATTTCCATTATGCAACCACAGTTCAAGAGAATTGATTCTTTTATGTTCATTTCTTAATCTATTTCATTTTTGTGTGATAATCCTCCGAAATGCCATATGCAAAATACTAGAATTAGGGATAGGAAGAACGTGGAAAGCTTACTGGTTCACTCTCATGATGGTGGGCTTGGAGCTATTCTAACTTAACGCCCAGTATTACTGGAGAGGAAAGAGGCAAAGCGAGAGGAGAGGAGACAGACTCTTGAGAGAGTCCCGATCCTGTATCTCAGGAGGTTAGCTTTGCCTCCACAGAATGGACAAAAAGCGGTGCTGGACTCAGTCAATCCAAACCATGAATTGCCACAGAACACTCTCTGAGCAGAAGACACGAAGACCTGGAGTTAACAGCAACTTACAAGTTTACATGGATCAGCAAAACCTAGAGAGGTTAAAAAGAAAAGGAAGATGAAGAGACACAGAAAGAACGGTCACCAAGAGACTATCAGGTATACGAGGAAGAGGATTCTAAAAAGCGGAAGACGACCAGAGAGTGCTGGATATGGGAGGACCCCGGCAGAGGAAGCGGTGGGCAGCTGTCTGTAATCAGGAGCAGGAGGACTCCAGAAAGGAACAGAGTTTGAGTTCTCCAGAGATGAGTTTTTCTAGAAAATAAACCGAATGTTCTGAATATTTGTCTCCAGAAAAGAGGAAGAAATAACCATGAACTAAGACTGTATTAGAACTTATTATACTTTATAAGAATGTCAGCAGTACAAAAGCTGTTTCTATTTGCGTTGATTGGGTATTAGGTAGGTAATACCAATATGAGGTAGCTTCCTCTTACAGAGAAAAGAAAAAGACTGGGATGAAGACAGAAGGTAAGTTGATAAGTAGAGGAAGGAAGGATCTGATCTTACTGGGGATCTCGTCAAGACAGTAGGCCAAATTGTAGTTCCATGATGGTCACTTTTAAGAACACAAACTATCTTATGCAACCTCAAGTCTCCTGCTGCTTAAGTAGAATACTGGGTTGACCAAAAAGTTCATTTGGATTTCCCCATCACATCTGATGGAAACACTCCAACTTTTGATCAACCCAATACTTTGCACATGGGACATAATTAAAAGTGCATTTATTTGACTTCAATCAGTAATAGGCAGAGTCTTAAACTTTCCCCAAAACAAACTATAGAAGTGAAAACAATGATCCCAGGATTGGAAACATGTACCTAAAGATTTAAGAAAAGACACAGACAATATAGCAGAGGATAACCCTGACCCACTCACACCCCACTGTGGTGCAAGGTAATGCTACATAACTAGGGCATGACACAGTCCTATAACTTGGGCATGCTTAGAACCACAAATGTTTCTTCTGACCTCTGCACTCATTCCTACTATTTCTGTATTGAGTTTACCAAAGCCTCTTGAAAACTAAGAGCACCCTTAAAAGCAAAAGGTAATGAAGCTTATATGACATAGAAGAGGTCATGAAACCAGACTTACTATTTGAAATGTTTAGTGGGAGCACTCTAACTAGATTAAAGTGGACGACCTCTCTTTTTTGGTTTCTTTAACGAAAACAAGTCAATTATATCTCAGTTAAAAAAGGAAAATTTTAGCATGCAACCACAGAAGACAGCAAACCCAACAGTCAAATAAATGCAAACACCCTTTAGAGAAAGTCAGTCCTGTCTTGAGCTTTTCTTTCCTCACATTTCCCTTTCTAAGCTGGTTCAAATACCTAGTTCAACTTAATGTTTAACCATAAAAAGAAAAAAAAAATAAGCACACTGAAGAAGTGTTCTGAGATTTTAACTTTGGTTTTGAGATACAAATAAGAACTTTTTTGAAAAAGAAGAATCTCATGACCAAGTTAGAAAATCAAAACGTGGCCATGAAACTGAATCAAGCTATAGGTTACATAAGAAGCCCAATCTAATCTTAATTCTTAATCAGTTCTGAGCCATCCTAAACTTACTGAACTGAAACAAAATACTTGATAATTAATTGCAGTGCCCCAGGTGAAGTGGAACCGAGGCTTTATTTTGGCCTAACTTTTGCCTTTATTTTTTCTGCTTATCTTTGCCACTTCACACACATGCACACACCTCAAATTGTCCAGAATGATCACAGTGAAGTATACACAGTAGATACCACCAC